GAGGGCAGTGTCACTGGCCCTCATATGTGGGATCCGAACTGAGGCCCTCTGGCATCCCAAGCCAGTTCTTAACCAACGTGCCACTCAGTCGGCCTGTGATGAGAACTTTTAAGATCTACTCTCTTAGCAACTTTCAAATATGCAATACAATATTATTAGCTATAGTCACCATGCTATACATTACACCCCATGACTTCTATATAACTGGAAGTCTGTACCTTTTGACACCTTTCACCCACACACACACACCCCACCAGCCTCCTCTGGCAACCACCAATCTGTTCTCTGTATCTGCGAGCTTGAGTTTTTTGTTTAGAGTCCACATATAAGTGAGATCACATGTTATTTGTCTTGGTCTTTGACTTATTTCACTTAGCATAATACCCTCAAGGTCCTCTCATGTTGTTACAAATGTCAAGATTCCCTTTTTTATGGCTAAATAATATTCCATTGTGTATGTGTGTACCACAGCTTCTTTATTCATTCATCTATTGATGGGAACTTTTTTGTTTCCAGGATTGAGACTTTTAAGAAATGAAAATTGTAGATAAATTGCTTTCTCCTGTTAACCTTCAAAGCTACTTTAACATATGGGTCCTCAAATTATTACTTGCTTTATTTTGGTACTAATTGTTAATGTGGGGGAACCATAGTAAACATTTTACATCAACAGGCCAACCACATAAACTAAAGGTTTAAATAATGGGTGTGAAGGCATAACAACATTATCTTCTATCTTGACTCACAATGATAGCTAATGCTTTGAAGATACAAGCTTTTCTAGGAGTTTGCAACATCTTATGCAACTGTTTGATTTTAAATCTCCCTTTTGGTAAGATAATTATTTTAGTAGTTATTTTTTGTTCTGACTTGTTTCCCTTCTTACTTTAAAGCTAGAGGTGGTTTATGGTTGCTACCGTGAATGAATTCACAAAGTCAGAAATTTTCCCAGAAACAAGTTATTCAGAAAATAACTACTGAATATTTACGTAGTATTGATGTAGTTTTTATTTTTCTCACTTATTAAAAAAAGAATAAAACTTGCCAACATTTAAAAAGGAATATTAGGTATAGTGACAGAATATTTACAGTGTAATCCACATATGTCTGAAGAAAATATAGTATTATTTCTGATGATTATTTATTTATTATTTTTTTTAAAGATTTTTATTGGGGAATCAGGGGAAGGGGAACAGACAAGTTGCTGTCCTTTTGTTCTTTAGTCTAGTTGTGGAGGACCTTGCTTCAGTGGCCCAAGTTGACACCATCATTGTGCTCTTCCCCAGCAAGGCAGATCAGTCGCCGGCTTCTGGATGGCCGTTCACAGCGGCTGCTGGCTGCTCACGCTGGCTGCTGGCTACACACGGTAGCCCATGGCAACCCACCTCAGCAGTGGCTGCAGCCTATGCTGTCGCCAGCGACTCACGACAGCCCAGTTCCAGGTTGAGCTGTTGTTCAGCATCTTAGCTGTAGAGGGCAGTGTCACTGGCCCTCATATGTGGGATCCGAACCAGGGCCCTCTGGCGTCCCAAGCCAGCTCTTAACCATCGCACCACTCAGCCGGCCCCTGATGGATTATTTCTGATGATAATATTATTTTTGAGTGAATTTACTTTATAATTTTTATATATTTTCTAAATTTCTACAAGGAGCATACTTATCACTTATTATAACCAAGAAAATAAACATGTATTCTTATATAGTTATTATTAAAAGAATATTAGGTTTTTCAGTAAGTTTTTATATTGGTTATTGATTATTACATAACCCAAAGCATCAAAGAAAGGAAGCTCTTTAGAAATAAAATAAATTCACTTTAAACTCTTATTTGTTACTCATTCCGGTTTCCATAAAAGTAACTCTCTTCTTCAGGATTCAAAATCATGCAGAATAGAGACAGATAAGTCTGAATTGGAAAACTCAGGACTTGACGGAATGAGCGATGAAGAGCTTCTAGCAGCTGTTTTAGAGATAAGTAAGAGAGAAGCTTCACCGCCTCTGAGTCATGAAGATGATGATAAACCAACCAGCAGCCCCGACACTGGATTTGCAGAGGATGATATTCAAGAAATACCTGAAAATCCAGATGCTGTGGAAACTGAGAAACCCAAAACAATCACAGAGCCAGGTAGGTTTAATGAAGATGTCTGTTAAATAAGGCACAACTGTGTTCTAAATCCTTGTAGTGATATATGGCTTCTAAATAATGGGAGGTGAGATGGATCTGTACAGGTTTCAGAGCAGCCTTTTCCAGGTTATGGAAACGGGTATCTTTTTTTTTAATTGAGATCATAGTGCTTTTTGTACTTAATATATATCCTTAGTTTATTTTCCTCTTTTAATGAATATTGAGTTAGTTTTTTTTGTTTTGTTTTTAAGATTTTATTGGGGAATTGGGGGAGGAGAACAGTGCTGGGGAATTGGGGAAGGGGAACAGACAAGTTGCTGTCCTTTTGTTCTTCAGTCTAGTTGTGTAGGACGTTGCTTCACTGGCCCGTGTTGGTATTATCATTGCACTCATCTTGGCTGAGGCAGATTGGTCGCTGGCTGCTCATGGCGGCTCGTGGCAGCTCACACCAGCTGCCGGCCACTCACAGTAGCTTACAGCAGCCCACTGCAGCCTATGCCGTCGCCGACGACTCCTGGCAGCCCAGGTCAAGCTGTTGTTCACCATCTTAGCTGTAGAGGACGCAGTGTCACTGGCCCTAATGTGGGATCCAAACCAAGGCCCTGCTGCTCAGAGCTGGCGTCCCAAGCCAACTCAACCCAACGCGCCACTCAGCCGGCCCTTGAGTTAGTTTTAATAGTAAATATTCAGTCAGCAATTCAGTACAATTAAAAAATGATGACTAGTTGCTGATTTAGAGTCTAAAGCCAAGATGCTGTAAACTTCAGAGTTGTCTGTGCTATGGAAAAGTATTTATCATTTAAATGGTTAAAATGCAGTTTTGAGGCAGGTAAACAACATATACTAATTTTAAAACAATCCATATAAGATTAATCTGTAAAGGTAATTCTTATTGATCAGTCATAATTTATGAGAACTTCTTTGTTAAGATGAGAATTTTTGCTTTGGTAAACATTAGCAATAGATAGATAGATAGATAGATAGATAGATAGATAGATAGATAGATAGATAGATACTGGGTTGTCGGAAAAGTAATGATGTATTTTTGCAATGAAAAACAAAAAATACGTCATGACTTTTCTGACAACCCGATTGATAGAAAGTAAAGGTTAGTGATAGATAGATAGATAGATAGATAGATAATAGATAGATAGATAGATGATAGATAGATGAAGAGTACTTCTCCCCACTTTAATACTTACCAGTATTAAAAATTATAATGAAATATTGTTGTTAACACAATTCAAATAACGAGAACAAAAACATGACTATACTGTTTATCTCATCCCAGCTGGCCATAGTCTAGAGACTGAGAAGGAACAAAAAAATTAATGATTAATTTTTTTTCTTATCTCCCTGGATGAATGTTCTAAACATATGTTATCATATACTTGTTTGGCACATGAGATGTTTATTACATATTTTATGGAACTCTTTTGATTTAGAATATGTACAAGACTTATTTGATTATTGTAAAAATGCATACTCATTTAACATACATTGTAATCAATGGGAAAATCTCAATATTAGCTTCATAATTCTAGCCTAATTCTTCATTTACTCTAAACAATACTTGATTCCTAGTACTTGATCATGTGACATTATGACCTACAAATATGGCTGTTTATTCTTTTTCATCCTAACCGTAGTGCTTCTGGTGATTGGTAAGTTTCAGAACCCTTGCTGTATAGATCAGTGGATCTCAACAAAGGGCAGTTTTGTCCCCTAGGGGACACTTGACAGTGTCATTTTTGGTTGTCACAACTAGGGAGGGGGATGATGCTACTGGCATCTAGTAGGTGGAGGCCAGGAATGTTACTAAACATTCTACAATGCACAGGACAGTCCCCCAACAACAACAAAAATATTGTCCCACCCAAAATGTGTCAGTAGTGCTGAGATTGAGAAACCCCGATGTAGATGTAGTTAAGATGAATTGTATGTCCCAATCAAGTCTATGAGGTTATGGTAAGTTTCTTTCTGAACAGTAGATGTCACTCTAGTCCAGAGATTTCCGTTTATTAGAGAGGATTTCCCAGTTATATTATGTTCTGCTTCCTCAGATCCTGCCAGTTTTACTGAGATAACTAAAGACTGTGATGAGAATAAAGAAAACAAAACCCCAGAAGGATCTCAAGGAGAGGTTGACTGGCTCCAGCAGTACGATATGGAGCGTGAACGGGAAGAGCAAGAGCTACAGCAGGCACTGGCTCAGAGCCTTCAGGAGCAGGTAAGGTATTTATAGTGCTACTGTCTCCATACCGATCTTTCCCAAGAAATAGAATAATAATAATATAATGATAATGATATCATTATCATTATGTGTCAGACATTGTTCCAGGTAATTATATACAGTAAGTCATTAAGCCACCAAAATAAGCAAAAAAACTCCTTTGGGGCTTTGCATGAGGTTTGAAACAGAAACATTGACAGTTTTTCTGTTTTTAAAAATCCAAATGTCACAAAATATATTGTTGGCTACCTCCCATTACTATAATTCATTGCATGCTAAAGCAGCATGTGTTATTATAGGTCATCCCAGTCCAGCATTATTTTGCAGACTGTAGAAACAGCCAGTATACCACCATGATTTTATCGTGTATTTTAAGGCAATGTATTTGTTTTGGTCATTTTCTCACAATATGAGTCCTTTCCTATGAATTATTTGAACATAAAGTTCTTAGGAATATTATCTGAATATTGTCTGAATTTTAGATTTTAGTCATAGACTAATACTTATCTGCTTTTTATGTAGTAATCTTTTCTGCAAGTTTTAGTTTTTTATGCTTATATTTGCTAAAGCTGGTTGATTTGCACTGTTGCAGTCACCTGAGGTATCTAACTAAAAGGTGATGTTTTCATGGTTGTCTAATCCTAGTCATGTTAGTATAAAAATTTATCAAGACTCTCTAGAATGAATGCACACTTTTAGTGTGTGCAAATAATCAGATTAAGAAATCTAATTTCTTTAGAACAGTCTGTCTCAAGCTTAACTGCACATTAATATTATCTGGGGAACTTTAAAAAATACTGATCCCTGAGTGGTTCTGCCCCTCAGAAATTCTGATGTAATTGATCTGGGATATGGTCTGGGCTTCTAGATTTTTGTGATACATTTATCTCACAAAAACTTCACCCAATGATTCTAATGTGCAGCTAAGGCTGAGAACTGCTGCTTTAAAACCATTTCAAAGTCAGCTCTTAGGTATCATTTTATTTATAAGAAGTACCTCCCTGTCTGCCTTGTTGTTATCAAGATGTATACATGTCAAACTACTTTACAAATAATATGTAGTCATCATTTTTTAAGAAAACTTGTTTTTAATGTAAAAAAAGACCAAGGTCTCACTTAATAGTAGTACCTTATAGTGCAGAGAAAGAAAAAAATCCAGCACGCCTTTTTTTTCATAGACGAAAGACATATGTTATTTCTTGTCAGCTGACCGAATTAAAACTATCTTATTTTTCTCAGATGTGAGGATAGGATTATAAGATGAAGTTTCTTTAGTTTGGTATACCTACATCATTCTATTAATAACTGAAAAGGAAAGAGAACCTCCTTCTGGTTTTAGCATTGACTTTATATACTTGGATAAGTTTAAGTAATCTTATTTCCTCTTAGAGAATATCTCTGTTGCTTTCTTGAACACAGTATTATTGCTACTAGTACTATAATTCAGAATAGCTCATTTTAAGCTTCTTACATACTTTACTAACTTAAAAACAAGTCTAGAATTGAAGCAAGTATAAAACGACTCTGCTTAAATCATGCATTTTTTTCATACATTGTTTGTAAATTATCTTTTCTCTGAAGTTGAGAGGGGGGAAAACATTTATAGTCAACATTTCCCTATTCCTTTTTATAATTAGTTATCTAATTGAGACCCTTTCAGAGGTACTAATTTTTCTAAGAAAATCTCAGATGTATTAGAAAAGGAATAGTCAACAGCATTCATTTAGTATTTACCAAGCATTTATTATGTATCTTGGTTTCTTTAGCAAGAACAAAAATAGAAATCTATGAATAATACCTCGTGGAAATATTGTTTATCTTGCTGTCATAAACTTAGAGTCAGTGATGTGCTAGAAGCCAGCTCAGTGTCAGCTCAGCAGAGCCATCTATTACATACCTCTTTCAAACTCTTCATTCAAGGGCTGGCCAAGTGGCTCAGTTGGTTAAGAGCTTGCTCAAGAGTGTGAGCTCTGAGCAACAGCGGTTCAATGCCTGGCCCAAGCTGAACTGCCAACAGGTGGCAGGATTGCTCAGCTAAAAACAAAACAAAACAAAACAAAGCAAACAAACACTGCATTCAGTGTCACATTGGTAGCTTAAAATTGGCCATAGTGGGAGTACTTATACCATGGAAATTGGCAAATTCTATAAATCAGGGGAGAGGAAAGAGAGGAATTACTAAGTATTTGCTATATGCCAGATAATTTCATACATGTAAGAAGAAAGGGAATTATAATGTCACATTGAATGGCTTTAGGTTGGCAAGCCAAATGTCACTGACTAGAGGAGATAGTATTTAAGCCTTTTTAATCCCCAAGGTTGTGCTTTAGGAGGACAGTGTTGGAAAAAGAAAAGAATTTCTTCAGTTCCTTCAAAAGGTCATATTCCAAACATCCAGAAGATTATGGAAAATATTTGCAAATAACTTCCAAGGCAACTGATTTTATCCTCATTAAATAAGTTTAATGACTACTGCTTTAAATACCTTAGTTTTGTTCTTTTCCCTTTAGGAGGCTTGGGAACAGAAAGAAGATGATGACCTCAAAAGAGCTACAGAGTTAAGTCTTCAAGGTATGGAGATTATTTTAATTACATTTTTTTAAATGGTGAAGTGTATCACACAGAGAGGAGCATATAAAATGTTTGTTATTTTTAATAACAATAATGAATTTGATCGCCTCCCAGGTAAAGAAATAGAATCTTAAAAGTTACCTGGATATCCCTCCCTTCCCCTCCCTGCCAGAGGAAACCACCATGCTAACATTCGTATTCATCAATAGCTTGCTTTCTTAAAAAATGATATTTACTATATCCATATCCCTAAACTATATATGTTAATTAAATAACAAGGACAGTCTGTCTGTAATCCATCTGTATGAAAGAGCAGTACTGCTACTATTAAAAGACTCCTGGTAGAAGATGAGGTAGCTTCAGTTTTCCCATGAATTTACCAGAGCTCACTCTACAGAATTCAGTGGGAAAAGTCATGAGTGACAATTCAGAAAGCATAAGGGTCACCATAGTCATGGCAGTTGGCAGAACCAATATATGAACCAGGGGCTGGAAGTCCACAGGGGCATGTAGTCATGGGAAATAAGCTAAGTGTATTTTCCGTTTCTAGATCACTGTGGCTTTTCTCCAGCTCTCAGAAATAGATCAAAGCAGAACACTTTGGTGATGCAAAATGAGTGTTCTAGAGTGGTCTAGACACCAGAGCATGGAGGAAAGGACAAGAATTTCACCAGCACATGGTTGAGACAGTTATAACTAAGAATTCAAGCTAGGCTCACCCAGGCATTCTGTCCTCAGACTGAAAAGATGGTGCTGTGGTGCTGATGATGACTGTATCGGGTCATAGTGCTCCAGTCTGGACTGGTTGCCCTCTACATCCATGCACAGCTATCCTGAGATCTCCCTAATCATTCCCCTGGGGATTCCCTCTGATTCTCTCTGTTTGATTCTCCCCTTTTCTATATCTCACTCGTCCTTAGTTTTCATCTACTGTGCTTTGATAAGAGAGCATCCCCAGTAGTTCTCTTGAAAAAGAGGAGACATGACTTCGATTTTTTTGGAGACCTTGAAAGTTTCATTATATTCAAGAATTTGGTTAGTAGCCTGGCTAAATATAGAATTCCAGGTTTACAGTCATTCTGAAAGTATTGTTTTCCACCAACTTTATGCTGCTATACAACGGGAGAGGTCTTGTTTGCTGGGTTGCTGTATGAAAAGCCTAAAGCTGCTTGTTCTTGATCCTGATGTGACCTCTTGTTTCTCTGAAAGCTTATAGGATCTTCTCTTTGTGTCTGTTGTGATGAAGTTTCATGGTGATGTGCCTTAACATGGGTCTGTTTCATCCATCTTGCTGGGCATTTGATGGATCATTTTAATCTAGAAACTTGTGTCCTTGAATTGTAAGGAATTTTCACTGATTTTTTTCTGCCTTCCACTTTCTCTCTTTTCTCTTTTTGAAACTCCTATTATCCAGACCTCCTAGTTTGGTTCTCTTAATTTTCTCATCTCTTCTCTTTAGTTTTCCATCTTTTCGTCATTTTATTCTACTCTTGGGAAGTTTCTCCAACCTAATCTCCAGCTCCAAACCTTCTTTTGGGTGTTTTATTTCTATCGTATTTCTAATTTTTAAGTTCTGATTTGTTTTATGAATATTCCTTTTTTATAAGTTTTTTGTTTTTGTTTGATTTGATTTGGTTTGGTTCATGGAAACAATACCATCTCAATTCTCTGAGGATATTAAATGTAGTTCACTTGTTTATTTCAAGTTTACTGTTCTTGAATAGATTCTTTCCTCCAGATTGCTCTGTCCTGTGTGTTTATTATGCTCTTTATATTTCTAGTTAGAAGTTTTCCTCAGATATCTAGTGATCCTTGACTGTCAGCTTATGGTTAAGAATAGGGGACTAAAAAGATGATTGGAAACCCTGAGCATGTGAATAGCTAGGGTTTGACAACGTTTGAGTTTTACAGGGTGGGACCATTTGGAGGATGATGTTAATATTTTATCCTTTCTCTTTGGACTGGTCAGATTCCTAAAGAAGGGTTTTCTAACCTCTTGCCTTTGCCTAAGAGTAAAAGATGTGGCTGCCAGAGTTTTGGGAGCCACATAGAAGAATAGGGCTGAAGCAGGGGTTGGGGTGTGGGGGGTGTTATAGTCATTTTTCAGTATGCAAACTGTTACCTACTTCCATTTTCAGTATGGTACTCATGGCTTCCTCTGTTCCTGGCATCCTGCAATCCAGAGACTATTTTACCCTTTCCACAGAATAAAGCTCCAGACTTCTGTCATTGCCTAGTGGTATGAAGTGGTAGAAAGTGGATCTAGGAATCTGTTTCTTAAACAGCTTTCATTTAATCCTTATTTTTATCCCCTCCTTAGCCTCCAGTTTCAGAGGTACTTCCAAGTTGTATGTCTTTTGAAGATTCTGTGATGTAAATTGGATTGGTTCTCAATTTTTCCATTACTGGCTTAGGATTCGTCTTTGGTTTCTTAGGTCTGCTAAGTCTGTCGATGCATCTACTTCTCAGCTTCCAGAATTTTGAGGCCATAGTTTGTTTGTTTTTTCCTGTTCTTCCCATTCTTAGGTACTTATGTCCTTTAAACAACTCGGTGCTGTGATTTTAGTGGAATTAATTATATTTCAAAGCAAAGAGCCATTTATGTACAAATGCTTCTGGAAGTCTTTATTTAAAGCCATTAGTAAAGATGGAGTCTTCCAGTGGAAGCACAGTATTGAAGAAAAAAATGGATTTTGGATTTGTTTGCTTTTTTGTTTGTTTATTTGTTTTGTTTTGTTTTGTTTTTTAAAGATTTTATTGGGGAATTGGGGGAGGGGAACAGACAAGTTGCTGTTGTTTTGTTCTTCAGTCTAGTTGTGGAGGACGTCGCTTCACTGGCCCATGTTGGTATTATTATTGCGCTCTTCCCGGGTGAGGCAGGTCAGTCGCCGGCTTCTGGACGGCCGCTCACGGTGGCTGCTGGCCGCTCACACTGGCTGCTGGCCACACACGGTAGCTTATGGCAACCCACTGCAGCAGGAGCTGCAGCCTACGCGGTCACCGGCGACCCAAGGCAACCCAGCCTCAGATTGAGCTGCTGTTCACCATCTTAGCTGCAGAGGGCAGTGTCACTGGCCCTCATATATGGGATCCGAACGGGGGTCCTCTGGTGTCCCAAGCCAGCTCTTAACCAATGTGCCACTCGGCCAGCCTGGATTTGTTTGTTTAGTGTATTTTTAGGTGAGATTTAAGAGTTAAAGGCTGAAGCTGAAGCTGAATAGTAGACACAGGATGTGGAGTACAGCATAGGAAATAGTCAGTGGAATTGTAATAGCTATATACGATGTCAGAGTGGTAGTAGATTGGGGGAGGAGGGTTATCACTTTGTGAGGGGTATAAATGTCTGACTATTATATTGTTTTGTACACCTCAAACTAATTAAAAAAAAGAGTTAAAGGTTGAATTTCCTTTATTTTTGTTAAATTTCAAAATACTGATTTAATATTAAAAAAAATAAAAGGAAATTGACCTTTTTATGGTCTCTTTTCTGTGAGGTAATTTATATTCTCTGGTGTTACTATAATATGCACCGTATACTTCAAATCTAACATATGGTTTATGTAATATGGAATTTAATAAAATTGGATTAACTTTCAAATTATATTCTCCTCTTCAATTTTATTTCCTTCTTACGTGAGTTATATCCCCTTATATATAAATATATTAAGAAGAAAAAGGAGTGTTTCTTTTACAGATAGTGGAGCCTGAATTGTGATTCCCCAATTTGTTGGGTGAATTGGAACTTTAATAATATAATATGTTTTATGTTTTCTTACAATGATAAAATGTGTACTCAAGCTGTTTTTTTATCTTCTTAATCATTTCTTTGTGTCTATTCCAAGAAATTTTACAAGACTCTGCCTTTGTGTTCTTCAGAATTTAACAACTCTTTTCTGGATTCGTTGGGTTCTGACGAGGACTCTGGAAATGAGGATATTTTAGATATGGAGTACACAGAAGCTGAAGCTGAGGGACTGAAAAGAAATGCTGAGGTAGGTGCGCCGTTGTATTTCCAGAGTAGAATTGGCCACATAGTCAGCATTACTCCTGCTCTTTATCTTCAAAGGCCCACCATCAGTTTCTATTGCAGGTTCATTTCTGCCTCTGGCAGCCATAAAATGGTCTTCACTTTCTCTTGTCCTTTGCTCCTCATTTCTTACAAGATTCAAAACAAAATGAAACAAAAACAGAAATACATCCTGACCACCTTATGTGTATGTTAGGTAATAACTGAGTAACATGGCTCTCAAAGTCATGTTTATTAAATCACCTTTAGTTCTACCAAAACTATGAAAACTGTTTAATGATGTTAACTAGGGTACATTGGAATCTTTTTGTTTTTATCTTTCTTTTTTCTTAAATAATTGCTTTTTTCCAAATTTTTTATAATTTTACTTACTCAGGATCCCACTGTTCTAACAAAACTGTTAGCATTTTGACATATTCTTTTGTCATCCCTACCCCTAAGTGTGCATTTAAAAAATTGGTGCGGCTGGTTAACTCAGTTGGTTAGAGCTCAGTACTCGTAACACCAAGGTTGCCAGCTCAATCCACACGTGGGTCACTGAGCTGCGCCCTCCACAACTAGATTGAAACAACTACTTGAATCTTTAAAAAAATAAAATAAAAATCGTAGTATACAGTTTTTATCCTATTCGTTAAAGCCTAATAATAAACATTTTATTTTTAATGGCTGTACTATATTTCTTCAAATGAACGTACTATTCATTTTTAACTAACATTGAACATTTAAGTTGTTTCTATTTTTTCACTGTAATAAACAATACATTGAGGAATTGTGTAAGATTGTAATGTTTTCTGTATTTAGGAATTTTCTTTAAATCCCCAGAAGTAAATACTACATCAAAGTTTATGAATAATTTAATGGTTTCTGGTTTACATATACTATATTCCTTTCCAAAATTGTACCTAATAATGCTGCCTTGCTGTAGAATATCTCTTTTCAGTTTTATTTTTCTACTAACAATATTTTAATAGCATTTTTAAAAATATTTAGAATGTAAACGTTCACCCATAATCCCTACAGCAACATAGCAACTCTTCGTTTTTTTTCATTCCATTTTTCCAGTACTTAACTGTTAACATACCTACTTTTATAGAGCTGTGGTTATTGTGTGCATTCATGTGAGTTTGAAAAACAAGTTAACATGTTGATGACCCACATGATTTTTTAAAAATAACTGCATATTGGGCCGGCCGAGTGGCGCGGTGGTTGAGAGCTGGCTTGGGACGCCAGAGGGCCCCGGTTCGGATCCCACATATGAGGGCCAGTGACACTGCCCTCTACAGCTAAGATGCTGAACAACAGCTCAACCTGGAGCTGGGCTGCCATGAGTCCCCGGTGACGGCATAGGCTGCAGCCCCTGTGGCAGTGGGTTGCCATGGGCTACCGTATGTAGTCAGCTGCCAGTGTAAGCGACCAGCAGCTGCAGTGAGCGGCCGTCCAGAAGCCAGTGACTGGTCTGCCTCACCCGGGAGGAGCGCAATGATGGTGCCAACTTGGGCCAGTGAAGCAGCGTCCTCCACAACTAGACTGAAGAACAAAAAAACGACAGCAACTTGTCTGTTCCCCTTCCCCAGTTCCCCAGCACTGTTCCCATCCCCCCAGTTCCCCAATTAAAAAATAATAATAATAAAAAAATAACTGCTTATTATATTCAGTTGCTATACTGCTATTAACTATTAACTATTATTGGGCCTATTGTTAGTTCCAACTTTTCGTAATTAAAAATAATGCTACAGTAAATAATCTTATACATATACTCTTCTTTTGAATTATTTTCTTAGGATATATTCTTAGTGGGGAGTAGACTTCTTGGGTCAAAGGATATGAACAATACCAACCACTGGATATTTTATTGAACCTGACTACACACACACTGAAACTTAGCCATCTCAGCTTTGATGATAAATTTAAATTTAGTATTTTGCTTTGATTCAAATGAAGAGTTAAAAGTCATACCCACTTCTGTTTTCCAGACAGGAAATCTTCCTCATTCCTATCGGCTCATCAGTGTTGTCAGTCACATCGGTAGCACTTCTTCTTCAGGTAAATGGATATCATGATTTCAGCATTTTCTAAATGAAGTAACCAGCATTTACTCCTTATTAGGTCACTCTATGCCTAGCTGGGTGAGATGTAAGTTGAATGCATCAAGAAAAACTTTGAAATCTTTTATCAAAAAAGTTGTTCTGGTATAGTCTGTTCGGCCTTTAAGTTTTTGTACATGTTTTTTTAATGGTTTTCAGAAACATTTTGGGGGGGTAAGGTATATGGGGTGGCTGTTTCTTTCTGAAATTTCCTGTACCTGAGAAAAATAATGTTTTTTGTTAAAAACCTGAATTTTAAGATTTTATTTATTTCAGGTCATTACATTAGTGATGTGTATGATATTAAGAAGCAGGCCTGGTTTACTTACAATGACCTCGAGGTATCTAAAATCCAAGAGGCTTCCGTGCAGAGTGACCGGGATCGGAGTGGCTACATCTTTTTTTATATGCACAAGTAAGAAACTTGGGCAGTCTGAAGCCATGGGCTAAAATCACCCACTTCTCTTTCTTCTTCCTTTAAGAATTAAATGTTTCTATCACTTAATCGATTGATAATTTTTGGGTTTTGTTATCTTTGCTTAGGGCTCATGTCTTGATTATTTCCTTATGAGTCCAGAATATTTTCACTCAACATTAATTACTCATCACACAATAGCATCTAGATATGGAACTTAAGGCTGTTCTATAATAGAAGCTGCCTTATCATAAACCTTTTTGATCTTTCAGTTGTATCAACTAGATCTGAGTTATATCCATGGGAACTACATAGCATTTTTTTTTTTAAGATTTTATTGGGGAATTGGGGAGGGGAACAGCGTTGGGGAAGGGGAACAGACAAGTTGCTGTCCTTTTGTTCTTCAGTCTAGTTGTGGAAGACGCCGCTTCACTGGCCCATGTTGGTATTATCATTGTGCTCTTCCTGGGTGAGGTAGATTGGTCGCTGGACACTCACTACTGTGAGTGGCTCACGGCAGCTCATGCCGGCTGCTGGCCACTCACAGTAGCTTATGGCAGCCCACTGCAGCTTCACTGCAGCCTACGCCATCACTGGCGACTCACAGCAGCCCAGCTCCAGGTTGAGCTGTTGTTCACCATCTTAGCTGTAGAGGGCGCAGCATCACTGGCCCTCATGTGGGATCTGAACCGGGGCCCTGCTGCTCCGAGCTGGCATCCCAAGCCAACTCTTACCCAGCATGCCACTTGGCCCCCTACATAGCATTTTTATGAAAGCTACCTATTGCCAGCCTCCTCCCCCTTAGTGTTCTCAAAAATCAGCCGTTGGGATTAAGATGGTGATCAAATGAATGAGTTGCTTATTTAATAAAATTTAGGCACCAAATGGGATTATGCAGGCTTTATCAGTATCTACTTTCATTCTATTCTTTGGCTTTGTTCACTGAATGCTGATTTTTTGTTTGTTTTGTTTTAAGGGAGATCTTTGATGAGCTGCTGGAAACAGAAAAGAATTCTCAGGCACTTAGCACGGAAGTTGGGAAGACCACTCGCCAGGCCTCATGAGGAGCAAACTCCTGGGTTGGCAGTGTGCACTGCAGATTCTCTCTTCCTGTCACCCACCTCACTTTCCTCTGCTTGAGGAGAATTTGGAACTCTACTTGATGCTGGAGCAACACACAGCTCAGGGCCAAACCAAACGACGAAAATTGCAGTTCTGCGGAATGCTCCATGCTAATTGTTTTATGGAAACTTTGGTCTCATATCTGTAGCTGATTATCCCCTATTTCTCCTACAAGAGTAGCACTTCCTTTTGTCTTAGGAATACATGTTGTAAATATATATATATGTACATACACACACATATATGTGGAATGAATGGAGCCTTAAAGAGTTAGGATGAGCCACCAGAGTATGCCTGCTCAAAATTAATAGCACAGCAGTTTGGAGAAGAAACGAAGTTGTTACAGAGTCCATTCTCCTGAGAAATGTGTGGAGATACACATATCAGTTGGCATTTAGTGTTTATGTTCCTTGAGTAGTTTCACTCAAGTCTGTAATCCTTCATGTGTGTTTCTGATTAGTAAAGTTCACTGGAAAACCCGCTCTCCATGTTACACTAATGACAGTTCGTCCTCCTTGCAAAGGAAGGGCATTTCTGCCACCTGACTTGGGGGGCTTTTTAAAAAAATTACTTCATGGATTTGTAATGCTTTTGCTGTTTACATGCAGTCCCAAGAAATGGATTGTTGGTGCTCGGAATGTGTTATGGTCCCACATTTGGTATTCATTGTACACTTTATATTTTCTTTAAAGAGAGTCTTTCACACAGTATATTCATTGTATATGACCTATATTATTATGGGGATGAAGATAGAATCTTTTGTTTTTTGTTCTGTATCATTCTTCCATGGAGCAAGCATTGCCCTAACAGATTGCAACCAAAACTTTAAAGGTTGGAAAATAATAGTGTCCTACTTGGGACTCCCTTTCAAGGTTACTTAGGGATAAGAAAGAATGCTAGCATCTCTCTGTCAAGCAGAGAGAGATCAAGAGGAGTATTCTTGTGTTAAAACTAAAACTCTGGACCACTGAAGCTAAAAGCCCTACTGCAGGTGTAAAATAAGTGCATCAACTATAGGATCAAGCTTGAACATTTAACCATTCGCTGTCTGGCTTTGCCCTTAAAACAGGGTGGGAATTAAAATGTGATTGGGTTAGGTAATACCAAGAACTAATACATAACAGAGGTGCATAATATATTTATCTTACTTTTTAGGTGCTTTGAGTTGAGGCTAAATGGGGTACAACATTAAGTGCTACATTAGTCATTCTGATGACATAACCAGTTTGGTTAAGCAGCTTGTGAACCCATATAAAGAATGAATTTGAGAGTAGAATTCTGTCCAAAAAATAATTGTGTGAGCCCAGGAATCCTTAGGATCACTCAGATTTAGTTATAGCAAAATGAAACCTTCAATATTTTCTTTCACTTTTTTTTCTTTTATTGTAAACGAGATTACTCTTCAGTTCTGTGGTAGGGACAAAACCATACCAGGTTTTCAAGGGGAGAAAACATTTTGAAGTTAGTCATCACAGAAGATGCAACATCTTTTCTTGAAGATTGCCTTAAGAGAGCTCCAGCCCCATTCTTGAACCTTGGATGTGTTCTGACATAGTTACCTCGTCTTAAATTTTGAATCTTTGAATCATAAACAGCCCCAGCACTTTTGCTTAACTACTGATAAAAGCTTTGCTTCCTACCATTTATTTACATATTACTCTAGTGACTGTCCCAAAATGATGTGGTAGGATATGCAGGAGTCGCATAGAAGAGGAAAATATTTGTTTTAAAAACTCACTTTTTTATGTTTTGATCTATTTCCCCTGGGGAGCCTTTTATTTTTCTTGAAAATAACTGGTTTTCTCACAGACGATTGAAGTGGTGATCAAATTCTTCAGCTATTTATTACTACTTTTCCCTGTGTCTATATTTGAGAGCTTTAAGAGGTGCTGTTAAAAATGATTGGGAATGATTTGAAATGAGGGGTACATTAGGGCATTAAAAAATTAGAAATAATGCTATAAGCCTAGATTGCCCAAGAAGTACCCTCATTTGACTTGCATTTCGTAGCTTGTGTGTGTGTATATGGTTTAGAAGTACACTTGGCTCAAAAACCTAGTTTGATTTGATCTTCATGTCTTGGGCAGAACTTTTTAGTTGAATATAGGTTACTGGGGTAAATGAATTATCTTGCTGCTCATATACTTGCAAGGTTGGGACTTGAATTTTCCTTATTATCTAGTATTGTTGTGTCCTGGTCAGCCTTCCTCTCTCCCTTCTCTCTCTCAACTATTATCCCTTTTACAAAGTTACTTTTTCATTTTGGTTCAGTGAAGGGTTTAATGACTACAGATGGAGGTTTCAGCTGGACCATGTTGATGAGGTTTGTTGTTTGTTTTGTTTTGAGCTGACTATATATTTAAAAATTATAAGTAGATAATATTTTTGTGCAGTATGATCAGTTTGCTCAGAATTGGGGGCATTTGGCATGTTGGGGCCTAGAAGGGGCAACTTAAATAGAGACAGAGTACTTCAACCCCAGGCAGCCAGCACAATAACTTTCCTGTTGAAAATACCACATGTGGTTATATTACTGTAAATGACATTGAATTGGAACTAGACAGCGCTTAGTTCTGCACACAGCTGAATTTTTTGGAAGAGAAAACTAAACAAATTCAATCTTGATTCTTACTGGCTAATATTATGGAGAGTTGGAAAGTTGCATGTGGCCAGATGCTCTCTAGTGTCACTTTAGTAGCCATGACTATAATTTAGGCCTGCGAGGAGATAGACTTTTTTATGGGGAATATATTTATGTGTGTGTGCACATAAGTTTTGTTTCAGCAGGATAGAAAAGAAGCAAATCCATGACTTGTTTTTCTATTTATATTTTGATTCCAAAAGCTATTTGTTTACTTGCAATGGTCTGTTAATTTCAGGCCTAACTTAATGGTTCAGTAGCAGATACAACAAATGTAAATGTGTTTACATTTTAAGAAGTATGCAGTGATACTTAAAGATCAGTTAATTAACTGGGAGGCAAACATTAGACTACACATTTTTTTATTTCTCTCTTTGATCAAGTGTAAAATTCTTCTAAAAGAGAAGCTCTAAGAATTAAAACCTCAGCAAATGAATTCATGACCTTACTCTTCCATATGGCAGTTACCATTATGTCACTATATAAATATAGCTACAGCTACAAATATGTAATGAAAACTATTTGGACACCTAAATTAAAGAGATTCTTGGCAGTGTCTGATATATACCGGTAGTTGAACATTGTGAGTGTAGAGAGAGCATGGGGGAGGACGGGGTGGAAATATAAAGAAAAATAGTTCATAAACTCATTGGTGATCTACTGAAAAGAGATTATATTAAAAAAAAAACAAAACATTGCCCTTCTCGCTCTTCTCCTCTGAAATGACTGTAGTGGACGCTCTTAGTCATCCAACTTTTTTTTTTCACCCATTTGATTTAATTGACCCCCTTAAGTAGTGTCTTGTTTTAAATCAGAGAAACACATAGGCTTCCAAGTACATATGGATCTTGTATATATAAGATTTTTACAAAAGTCAACAGCAACCCAGTACCAGATGCAAGTCACATAAGTGTCCCCCCAAATTAGATATGTCCTTTACCTCTCCATCTTGCTTTGCACTGCGTAATGCACTCTATAAATATACAAAAACTAAACAGATACCTGCCCTCTAACATCTTTCTAATTCATTACTTCAAAATTCTTATTTTACCTCTATTGATACCTTATTAACATCTGAAAAAAAAATATATATATATGTTTTGTTTTGTTTTTTTTAAATTGGGACACTATAGTTTGTTAGGCCTTGAGAGTTTTGTGGCAGGACTCTTCTGCTGTGTCTCACTACAATCATTGACTCCTTTATGGCATGCTTTGATTACTAGACTTCAGGCAGTCTCTTTCATTCTATCATATTTATGAACAAAGTATATTTCCCTTTCCATGTGTGCTGTGTGTCTGACGTTTTGAATAAAACGTGTGCCAGTTGACTATAAGCAGTTGATTTTGGTAATATTGGACTTTTCTTAAAGTACAGAGGTTTGAAGTATAGGCATGTACACTGGCGTAAGAATAGAGTGGATTGAGGGTCTGGATCAGGACCCAAGCTGGTCAGGTCAGATGCCAAAACAGAAGAGCAATCGACTGAACTGGTCTATTTCAAGAACGGAGAGGGTGCGAAGAGTGAGACCACATGTGGCTGTACACACCTGGTCCCCAAGTTTCCCTCCGACCTCTGGCCTGTTAGTGTTTATTTATGCTACAGAGAGGAAAACAAGAAGTAAGCTTCCTACACTTGGCATAATTGAGCCACTGCCAGGTTTGCTGGCAGCTTTGGCCACATTATCTGTGAGGTGATGTTCCTTTGTGTTCAGAGTGACTTCTGATTCTTATTCTTTGTGTTGTTTTGTATGGAGCGGCACTTTATCTGTGTTTTAGCAGAATTGTTCCTCAGTATCCTTTTCAGTTTTTTCTTGTTTTGGTTTCCTTTTAAATTATGCATAGAGTTTTTTGTGTGTGTGAAATTAAAGCCTTTATTAACCTTGCGTTGGTTTGACTTATTTCTGAAAAGGACATATTCTTGCAGACACTTAACCAGTTGTTGAAGCTGTGGAAATTGCCTTCTGTTGGCCTCTCACTTGGACTTCCATGCAGCACTGTTAAACCTTAAAGGAAATGGAATGGCAACCCAACATATGCCCATAGTCAGCACTGAGTTCCCGTTGCTTTCATGTGAGGAGCCAGTGAAGCTTTGCAGAGGTTCTGGGTAATGGCTTGCAAATCCAGCATTGGCTATAGCTATGCTCTTCCTTTGCCTTATTAAGAGGACCAAAGAGGGGGTGAAATGGCATTTGCATTTCATACTTGCCTTTAGGCCTCAAGCTTAGACCCAGTGGAACTGTCACTCTTGGGACTGGTTAGTGAGAAACTTAGGGTCATCTCCTAGGCCATTCAACTCAAAGAAAGGATCCCCTTAACAGTTGAGGAAGGTAGTGGAAGGCAGTGAAGACAGTATATATGAAAAGGAAAAGCCATTACTCGGGGAACAGTGTAAAATTGCAAAATGCTTCAGCCCACCTGCCACTGATAAAAGCCTAGGGAAGGTTCCTCAGAACCAATGCTCGGTGGAGTGTTTGGCTCCTCTTCTAAGAATGGAAAGCTCTACAGCATGATGGTTAAAAGTGACACAGCATCCCAAGATAGAAAAAACGCGACCACCTAGAGAGCTGAAATGGGGACGTCCTTAGGGGAGCAGCAACTTTCTGGAAGAATAGGTTATTAAACAGAAGTGGCTTCGCCACAGACTGCCTGCTGCTCACAGGTACAAGTGTAAAATTTCAATTAGTATAGGATTAACACCAGTAATGGAAACAAAATGGAACTGCAAGCAGGGCAGTGGAGTGCCTTCACAACCGCAGCTACTCTTGCTTCTCAGAATAATCCGTTTGCTTTCTTGAGGTTCTGTTGCTTCCATCGAGGCAAAGCAGAGAAGGCGGCTGGAGTCATCCCCAGGGCCTTGGTGAAGTCCTCAACAGACAGGTGCTCCTAAGAGAGGAGAGGGACCAGAGGGCAAAGGTCACATTCTTCCCCAGGGTTTACTTGGATGAGTCATATGGGTGTGGTCGAGAAACCAAATGACCAAAAACGGGCAACTTAGGGAGAGGGAGAGCCAGGAAAGGGATGGGGAGGAGGCGCGTGACATGAGGTACAAGAGATTTGATCCCTGAATGGGGAAACCTAATAAAAAGGACTGGAACAACTTGAGGTAGATTGAGCTCCTTTTCCTTTGACCAGGGTCAAGGGCACACTAGCCCTGAAATAAGAATTAGGACATTTACTTAGCTTGGTTAAGGAGTTGCTTCTCTTTCCAGGTCTTAGTTTTCCTCTCTATAAAATGGGAGAGGTTTCTTAAAGGTCAATTTTTGCTTTGGAATGCTTTTATGGGGGTGAAGATAATATACATGAAAGGACATTAGAGACACGGTCTCTTGTTTATCTACTTAAACTGAACCTACAGCTAGGAGTTGCCTTTCTAGGCCTCGGGTATCTTCAGCCATAAGATGAGGGCAACGCCTGAAATGACCTTGGCTCCCAACTGACATGAAATTACAGTGATACTATTAAAGGCAAGCTAAACACCCTCAAGGTACATTCAAATAAGAACCCCAAATTAAAGCTGCTTAAACCAGCATCCCCCAGACTTTGGATCTGTTCCCCCAGGCACCAGGAGAGGACAGGGTGGAGTGAAAGCAGTGGGTTTCCTTTCAACTTTAGACTGCTCTGCTAGGGGAATTGCCCAGAAGAATGCTTTACTGACTCCTGCAGAGAGCCTTGAGCTTCTTGGTAAACACCTGCAGATGGATTTCAAGCTCAGGTGAGACTGATGCCCCAATTCTCTAACCTGTCATTAAATTTGCCTCCAGTCCCTGGGCATTCTCTCCTCAAGGCTCTTGGGAGCCCTCCCCACTCCCCCAGGCAGGGCAGTGGAGCGCCTTGTTTTGGAAGAAGAGCGTCAATGTGAGTGGTTTAGGCACCAGTGGATAGGGAAGAGCTGCCTACTCCAAGTCTGTAGCAGTCCCCTCCCCTGCCAGGTCCCTCACAGGTGTGGCTGACAGTCCTGGGTCTGCAAATGGCTTCCAGTTCCCTCTCTGGCCCAGCCAGGCTGGCTCCACAGCTTGGTCAAGACTTCTGGACTTTGACCCCGGGGCTAGATAGCAGGGACTGCCCATCCCAGTGGACTTGTATCTTTCCACTGGTCCAGTTCTTAAACGCTGTGGTCCTACCAGCTGATTACTGGCCTCACCCATGCCCACATCCGCTTCTCTGTGGCTTACTCATTGGTGCTCAAACACTTAGATTACTCTCTTGATACTGCCTACAGCTAGACCCACCACCCCACTGTCTGCTGACACAGGCTCCTCTTTTGAGTTTGGAGCAGCCAGAGAGGTTTGAAGCCCTTTCCCACCCTCACCACTTGGCATTGAACCCATAGTTCCCCCACAAGAATGTATGCTACTCCCACAATAAAAAATCAAAAGACAACTGGTTTTTTTAAAAAAGACCTAAGACTTCTTAGACTACTTCTCCCATAATTGGGTTGTGTTGGTTCTGTTTGTTCCATTCAAAATTAGCAATCCATTTAGCGCTCCTGTCAATCACCTGGTTCAATAACATTGGCAGCCCTTCCCTTTAGAAATACTTTCTTTATGCCCCGTGATTTGGTGGTAACAGTGGCACTTGGAAGATCTGGTTCTTGCTCGGTCTTTGCTACTAACTAGTTATGTCACATGAGGCAAGTCATTTCCCCTCTCCTGGACCTGAGTTTCCTCAGGGGTAGAATAGGCAGTGATAACAGCTTACGTTTATAGAGCACTTCCTATGTACCAGGGGCTGGGCAGATAATAATACTTGTAGTATTATTATTATGAATTATATCTTGGGACCATTCCGTTATTACAGTGAGGACACAGTCTGGTGGATTGGGAGAGAATGCATGAAAGTCATCTCCAAGGTGAAGGGCAGGATGCAAATGCTCTGGAAACAATACACTACACACACTCGTGTATGGGGCCCAAACCCCTAACAGGTTTGGATGTTTTTGGAGAAATCAGGCACCTCTCTTCTGTAGATTGCTTAATTCATTTGTATGACCGACTTCTTTATGGGTTATCAGACACAGAGTAAATCATCTCTCCTCTCAGTACCTCATCGAGCTAGATTTGCAGTCTATTTTGTATCTTCATGAAGTGGGAATGAATATTAGAAATATTCTAATTTTTAACAAGCTCTTCTTGCCAAACTCTTCCCCCAAGTGATCCGTGCAGGCTGAAGCTGCAGCTACCAGGTAGGTCTGCTCTGGTGCCTGGATGTCCCCCAGATGCCTCAAACCACGTGGCTCCGGCTGAACTCATAATCGCCCTCTCTAAGCTCGGTCGGATCCTGGGTTTTTTATCTCAAAGAAGAACACAGTTTCCCCTTTCTCTCTCACACCCTTCATCCAGTACTTACCAAGTGTCACCAATTTCACCTCCTGATATTTCTCTAGACCGTCTCCACCCCACCTTCCCCAACCCCACATATTCTAAGCTCCTATCTACCTCTCAACGTGACTTATAGCTGCTGCTTTGGCTACCTACCAATCCATTCTTCACCAAGCAGTTTTAGTAATTTCTTAAAAGTGTGAATTTGACTGCCACCTTTCTGTTTCAACCATGATGGCTCCCTTCCACTGTTAAGATAGATGCCACCATCCCTACCGTGGCGTAGAAGGCACTGCTCAGTGCGGCACCTGACCCCTGGCCAGCTGCCCCTTCCCAGCTTGTGTACTGCTGCCATGCAGGCATTGTGCTCCACCCTGTGCAAATTCCCTGCCTCTGGGCTTCGTGTATGCTGTTCCCTTGTCCAGAAATGACCCGCTCTGCCTGAATAATTCCTGTTCGCCTTTCAGAAGGAAATCTTCTCTGACTAAATCAGGTTCCATTTTGTAATACTCTTCATGGCACCTATACTTCAGCTTTGTGGCACTCATCTTCACTGAAATTAAATAATAGTGTAATCGGGCTCCTTTGAGCTCTCTCTCTGCACTGAGATGTAACTTCCCATGAAGGCAGAGACCAGGTCTACTTTGTTCACCAGGTCACCCCACCACCTAGTCATCTGCAGGGCACAATCTGGGGGTCAATCAGTGTTGTCCAACAGACTCACCATAGCTCTTCACCCTCCTCCTCCAGTCTGACCTACCTCCTTCCTGCTGGGGTCCACACCCTCGGGGAGCTCCTCCACCGGCCTGTTCACCAGCTGCTCCAGAGGGAAGATGGGTAGAGGCCCAGAACTGAGGTTGCTGTTAGCATCGAACACATCCAGTTTAGGGCTTGTGATCTCCTAGGGAAGAAATGGAAACCACTGTTACTTCAGCTGGTTTGTGGCTACTTCCCAGGCTGCCTTTCTCTCTGAAGTCAACATGGATCCTATGGCATCTCCTTCAAGATGTTTTACATGACCCCCCACCCCACACTGGCCCACATACACATACACACACTCATAAGAACACAACAGATTGGATTGGACCCACAAGCTAAAGTTGATGGTCTGTATCCAACCAAAGCCAGCTGGTGCAAGATGACTATTTTGTTCTATGACTTATGAACCTCTCAATGGCTTCCCCCATGTGTTCAAGGTCTATCTTGGACATTTATGATCCTCTTCTGCTTAGCTGTTGTGAAATTGTCACATGTAAAGTCACTTAACTTTGACTTATCTATACTTTCTTACCTGTTCCATCAATCTACCAAGAAGGGTTTATGAGTGTCATGGGGTTCTCAGCCTGTGGGTGGGCCCAGGAGCCATATGCATTATCTGCTAATTACCTCGGTGTGTTTGGGAAATTGCTCCCATGTTATGGACACATTTCTGCCAAATCTGCTTGGTTTGTTTCCCATGAAAGCCTGTGAACTTCTTAAAGGAAAGGTTTTGCTTTCATATTTCCATATCCCAGACCGACAGTCTACATACATTTCTGTAACTAGCTGAAAGATCTAAGGAATTGCAGCCATTCTACCTGTAGAAGGGATCCCAAGGGTGATAATTTCTCCCTTCTAGTAGAGAAATTATTTCTCAAAAGGTAGCCTATGGATTCCCTGGACCCTTTATGAAAAACATGCATATTCCTGTGTCTCAACCCAATTCTAGACACCAGAATCTTTGGGAGTAGGACCTTGGAATCTGCAGTTTAATAAGCTTCCCTCACGCTCCAGCTCCTCATCATCCAGCCCCTAATGCATGATAAAATTTGGGAACCATTTCACTAGGGAATGGAGAAGACAAACCAGCTAGAGGCATTGAAGTAAAGAAGCAAGAAGACTTCCATGAGAAACGGGAGGAAATGGTGGGAAGGAAAGCACAGGACACTGGCATCTTTAGAAATTTCCAGCTCCCACAGATGTGATCATGGTCAGCTGACCACCACAGGGCCCAGTCACCTGCCCAGTACTCACAGTAATGAGCTGACTCCAGTCACCAGAGTTTCCAAGTTCCGCCTTCATGTCCTCGTAGGATTTGGCGTTCTGTATATAAAGCAAGTTAAAATTAGACTTGGGTCACAGCAGAGGAGACAAAAGACCACTTTCCTTCAAGGGTTGAAAGGAGGCTGGCCTAGGACCTGGGGGTGAGAAGGGGAAGAGGGAATTGGCGGAGGCTGGAGGAGGTTAGATGGTGAGGCTGAGCACTGAAGGGGCTGACAGGTCAGAAAAGGCCTGGTCAGGGATTATTCATCCCAGCTCAGCCCGACATGGTGACAGAGAGGAGTGTGATCTTCTATCTCAGAGGCCCATGTAAGCAGCTGCTTGCAAACTTAAGAACCCTGCCTACACTGTGTAGGGGCTAGGGGACTCAGGGGTCCAGGAGAACTGGGGGGCTCCTCTCAGAGCCTGGAGGGAACCCTACCACAGAGGAGTGAAAGGAATAGAAGGGCCCATGGCTCCATGAGGAGCCCCATCTCCATATCCCCAGGGCATGGCACTAAGCTTGGCACATCATGAGCTTCAGTTATGCTGAAGGAAGGAAGGGAGGGAGGGAGGGAGGGAGAGAGGGAGTCTGAGAGAGAAGTCAGCACAGACTTGAGGTGAGGGCAGGCTGCCAGAGTTGTTGACTTGGGGCTCTGATGATGTGAATTTAAAGAAGTTCTAGCATCTAGATTTGCATGCAGCCCTGAGATCTGTTTGAATACATCCTCAAAACTAAACTCAGCCCATTAACCACTGAATTTTTTTAAAATGTATTTGAAAAAATTAATCTAAGCTCTCTGTTTCCCTAAACCTCATCTGTTTGCAAATTTAGCACACCCAAAGCCACCAGGCCAGCACCCATTCTAACCTTAGTCTTCCTCCTTCCTGCAGAAACCTTTGCTGGGGTTCTGTTTTAAGGACCTGCCTTCTGCTTCTATCTGGGGCCAGTTTAGGAAAATCCTGTAGAAGTCTGATTCACTGTCTCTCAGGTAAGGACTCTTTGCTTAGAATTTAGTGCCAGGAAGACACCTGTCTGTCCTTTAGACCTGACATGTTTCATCTGGCATGAGGTTCACTAGTATTGTCCCGTAGAAGTTTTTGTGATGATGGAAATGTTCTCTTTCTGTGCTGTCCAGTGTGATAGCCACTAGCCACACGTGACCATTGAGCACTGAAATTGTGGCTTGTGAAAAACTGAACCTTTAGTTTTGTTTAATTTTAATTAGTTTAAATTTAAGTAGTCAGTACAGCTCTTAACCAATAATGTCCAACAGCTTTGAGCTAAATCTAGCACACAGGTAAGGTGCTGAAACCAGCCTGGGTTTTGATAGACTTCCCTCTCCTAAGCAGGGGCTTAATGGTCTTGCTGCAGCCTTACTTGTTATTTCAAGGCCCCTCCAACCCTTTGACAAATATATTACATGTTGTCTGACACAACGGAACAGAAAAGCTTGGGAGTCTGCCCTGCCTTCGAGGTGTGCCATGAAGACGTCACCCAGAGAAGGGAATGCTGGACTGTAAGGACCGGGTGAGCTGGGGCCACTCACACTCCACTTGAAGGGATCCCACGCCAGGAACCAGCCAGTGAAGGTGGAGGGCTCGTGTCCTTGCTTCACCACAATGATGGGAGTCTCGGGGTCCCGGCCACTGGGATGGGTCTTGAGGTATTCCTGCACAGTGGTAGCAGCGGCTTTCTTCTCATCTTCGTTGGCGTGCTCCCCAATCCAAAAGAAGACCTATGGAGAACCCAGAGCTCGGTCAGTCCTCCCTGTCCTCCTGGTCCACAGGGCTCTGCCTGGTTCACCCAGGCTCAGATGTTCAATCGTGCAGCCCGACCTTGGACACCTAACCTTGACTTTACATCTGGGAAATGAGGAAGTTGGACAGATGCCCTCTACTTAGTTATTCTGCAAATGCATGACTCCCAGCCTATCCAGAGCCAAAGCCCCTCAAAAACAAGCCTCTGCTACATGAAATAAATTGGGCTTTGGGAGAAGATTCATCCCACACAGCAGCCCCTCCAGGTATGTCCCTTCCTCCCTGCTTTCTTCTTTCTTACCCTCCTCTAGTTCATAATGCTGCTCCCAGGGAAAACGTAAATGGGAGCCAAGAAAATGTCAAACCTTTCCTATCCTTAATGCCACTATTTCTCGGCCAGGCCTTGGTCCTACCTGGTCCCAGACATCTAACAAGAACACATCATCCTCTTCCAAGTCATCCTGGTTGAAGTCAGTGATTTCTGTGGCCAGGAAGCGCCCGGTCTGGTTGGAACATTCAAAGAGCCGGGGAGTGATGACCATGTTTTCCTCCTGCAGTCTGCAGGATGGAGAGAAGATTGTGTTGGCAGGAGGAAGGTGCGGGAAGGAGAATACAGGACACAGAACTCTGAGGGACTCTAACATGGAAAGCCCACCTCCTAGGAAAATGCTCTTTTTCTGATCACACAAAAGGTCCCACCTCCTCCCAAGAGTCCAAGAGTGCTCCACAGGAGAAATTCCTACTGCTCTTCCAGGACATGTGTTCTAGTGGCTATCCTCTACTCCTGTTAGGAAGTTCTTTCTGATACCTTCCCTCTCTCCCTCCTGATGCTACGTCAGTACATGCCTTTTTACTTTTGAATTTGGGGTCATGGACCGTCTTTAGAAAAACCGTTTGAAAGAGGGTTTACGCTGTGCCTCCTCAGCATCCGGGTCCTGTGTCAGCCTGAAGGGCAAGACTGGGTGGGCTCTGACATCTTCTTCTCCAAGGAGAAACCTATAGCCCTGCTCCTCTCTTTGAGCTGCCTGCTATGGCTGTGAACTTCCCTTGCCAGGGAAATATCCCATCAGGCCCAGGGCAGAAAATGGTGAGCAGTACGGACACAGCCCCTGTGCCCAGGGGCGTCTGAGGGCATGAACTGCTTCTTACTCATCTTGTGGCCTTGGGGGCCTGCGCCACGGGGTCCTTAATCCATGCCTGCTGCAGGCTCTGGGCCATGGGAATAGGGGTTCTGGGAGGCTCTCCAGCATCAGAAGGTGAGCTGGAGGCAGAGGGACCTCCTAGTTACCTCTTGGTGCTGGCATAGGGGGCCTTCCCGCCCAGGGCCATCCAGAAGTTGGCTGGCTCCTGCCCTTCCACCACCACTTGCTTCTCCGTCCGGGAGAGGGTGTCAGCAACCATCTTGGCCATCTCCCGCTCGTCCCCGCTACAGCCCTGGGGAAAGGAGGGTGGGATGAACATGCTGGGGGACACCGTCTCTAGTGCCAGGCTGACCCCCACCCTTCTGCCACATTCACTGGCCCAGAGCTCCCGGGTCTGCAAGATCCGGATCTGCAAGATCGCCTAGATCAGGACCCCAGACACATGGCCAATGCAGAGACAGTTCTCCCATCCTTTCTTCTGTCTTTGACACTCCCAAGAATGGCAGAGGAGACAAGAGAGCCTGTACTCTCCTTACAAGGCAGGAGAAGGGTTACAAGAGGCTGAGAGTCCTCATTACAGAGATTAATGGAGAGGTAGTGATAAGCACAGGGATAGTGAGAAGGAGCCTAAGACATAAAGACAGACCAACACCGGGACAGACAGGAGTGGCCAGAGACAAACAGAATGAGAGAGGCTGACTCAGGCACAGAGGGAGAGAATCTGAGGATGACCAGACCCAGAGCTGAGGAGGAGGAGATGGGGTTAGAGGCTGCTGGGAAGCCAGTAAACGGGGCCTATTTGGCCAGAGGCCCCCGTCCTGACCCAGGTCTGTTTTGAGGAGCTGGGAGACCTGCACACACCTTCCCATACCACAGGTAGCAGCAGGACTGGGTCTTGAGGATGAAGACGTCATTGGAGTTGAGGGAGGTGGCCCGGGCTGAGACCTCAAAAGCCTTGGTGTTGTTGGTGCTGGTTCCCCGGACCTGGAACAGCCGTGTGGAGGGCACAGGCTCCTGGTTGGTAGCTCGGGAGGTGCCTCCCTGCAGAGTGTGGGGAGAAAGCAGCAGTAACTTAGGAAAGATGAGGGGGGATTAGAAGGGCACAGAACCAGAGAAGAGAGGCTGGAAAAGGGTCTGCCTGCCCTCCAGGTCTGCTGACACATCATCACCAGATTCATCCTTCCAAAACATTGCTTTGGCCATAGCACTCCCCTGCTCAGAAACCTCCAGTGGCTCCCCACAGTGTGTAGATTAGCACCGAGCTCTTCAGCGAGGAATTTGAAGACCCCACACGATGAAGGTGCAGACTCTGCTCTCTCCAAACCCTTCAGTTTACCTTGGCCAGGCTTCGCACTGGTCCCCTGGATCCCTTCCTCTGGGCCTTTGTCCTTGCTGTGTCCCCTGCATTGCATGCCCCCATTATACCTTTGCTGAGCTCTTCAATTGACCCCAATGTCAAGACCATCCCCAAACCCCCTTTCCACCATGAACTCTATGCCTATTCCCAGATTGCTGTATTCACGCTCCCTTTTGAACTCAACTTATAGTACTTGCATTTAACCACATGGTGCTTTGGGCTGTTAGTTCACTGCTCTCCCAACAAGATGCTTAACAATATTAGCATGGCAATCTTCTCCCCTCCTTGGCACTATGCCAGAAGGCTGTGTACTTAGTAGGTGCTCAATAAACAGATGGTGCTTGAATGAATTCAGGGGATGTCTATTTCATTATGTTGGAAGGCACCAATGCAGCTTGGACAAGTTCAGAATAATTTTCTTTTTCATGCAGAGGATCTGAGAGTTAGGATGTAAAGAGAGAAACAGCGCTTGCATATGCTAAGTGCTCACTACATGGACTTTTTAAAAGTATTGAATGGCTGTTTCCATTTTCAGTCCCATGTAGGTGATAAAGCCTCAGTCCTCTCCTACAGAGAATGGGATTCACCCAAAGCACCACCTCCACCTCAGATCCCCTCCTCCATCTCCTGGATGACCACCCTGCCTCAGTTGCAGGTATTGCCAGGGCACCTCAGTCCAGCAGTCACACCTGGTAAACCACCATGCGTCCTTTGAAGATGGACATGAGATGAGGTGGCTCCTTGCCCATCGGAACCCGGATCTGGACAGGTTCATTGTTGTACTGCTGGTCCAGGATGACGGCTTGATAGGCTGAGGCTGTGATTTCATCCTGGCTGGCCTGGCTGCCCTGGGGGTGAGCAGGATAGAAGGGATGGGGTGGGGTCAGCCCCTAATTCTGGCCCCGTCTCAGGCCTCAGCGGCAACTCCATGCTGAATTCTGATCTGGCCCCAAACCCAACTGTCTTCCCTAACAAACCCCACCCTGGGCACAGCCAGAAACCCAACCTGACCTAGACTTTAGTTCTGATCCCAGCCCCACAATCCTTTCTCAGCTCCAGCCCAGCCCTGACCCACCTGCAACGCCAGCCTTGACCCTAAACCTCCTCTCCTCCCTACTGCACCTTTCTCAGGGAAACACCATGGCTACCACACCACTCACCCCCAGCACCCAAGCATCTCCCTGCTCCATAACATCTGGGCACAGAAACCCACAGTCAGGTCAAGTGAAGGGAAAGTAGAGGAGGCCATTGAAATGGGAAGGCAGGCTCGGAAAACCAAAAGGGAAAAGGGTTGTGAATGGGGGTACTCAGTGTCATTGGGATTTCACAGCCAAAGCAGTCCCAAGATGAAAAAGGGGTGCGCTCCCCGTCACCACAGGTATTCAAATCAAAGAGGATGGCCACTTGGCAAGGGTATAGTGGAGTAGGAACTGAGCTGGCTGTGCTCTGGACAGGGTGGGCGGGCCTTACCTGCCAGATGTAAAGCAGGTAGTGCTTCTTCTCTCCGATGAGGTAGGTGTAGAGCAGCAGGTAGCAGTCACCCCCGAAGAAGTGGCCCAGCCACTTGGAATCCACAGGTGCCAGCTCTAGGTTTTCAATGCGCCACACCTGGGGCAGGTCCCAGGCTAGTGTGAAGTCCAGGACAGGCTCTACCGACCCCTCCCACCCAACTCAGGCCTCCCTCCCCGCACCATACCTGCACCTCCCCACTTCCGTCATCTACCATCTTCTGCTGGGCAGCCACCTGAGGCTGGACATGCATGGATGTGGCGTCAAACTTCACCTGCTCCACTTTGGCTAGAGTGAGGGGAAATCATGACACCAACGGTCACCAACTGAGGTCCCCCAGGTCCTCACAACAGCTCTGAGTGGTAGCTGTAATTCTTAGACCCCTTTTACAGATGATGAAACTGAGGTCAGAGATTCAGTGGCTTACCCCACATGGCAGAGTTATAATACAGAACCATCTCTCCCTGCCCCTAAGACTCATGCTGCACCAGGGCCCCCAGGGGAGCCAGGAGAGGGACCACCCTTCTATCCTCCCCTAGGTGCCTGGTGCTGAGCTTGCTCTTAGCCAGTATTGTCCGGGGACAGACTGAGCTGTCTGGTTTCTAGAGAGACTCCACCCCGTTCCAAAAGAAAAGCATGCCATTCTCAACTCCCAAATGTCACAACTCTTCAGTTTATCCATGTCCCTTCGTGTCCCCACCCAACTTGGAGAGCACAGACCAGGGTAAACGTGGGCATGGAAAAGGTGTGGCTGGGAAGGAGGACAGGTAGCAGGTCTGGGTGCTCTCCTGCCCCCACTCCTGGCTACCAGCCCACCCTGCCTTGCCCGGCCCTCACCTACAGAGCCCACAGTGTGGGTTTTGCCTAGGCCTGAGGTGCGGTTGGGCACTGTCCACTTCTGGAAGAGCTGCTGGAAAATGGCAGACTCCGCCCCATCATTCTGCACCTCTATCTGCGTGCTTGGAGGGTACTGCTTGGCTTTGATAAAGTTCTGGGAAGAAAAGGGGGTGACTGGGGCTGTGTCCTACCTCTAGCCTCCGCCCCCCACCCCCAGTGCAAGCCAAAGTCTGGATCTAAAATCAACCAGACCCAACCATAAACATACCCCTGGTCCCAAGCCCAAGCCAGAACCCCTCCCCAGTCCCAAAGCTCACCCCCAAACCTAACCTTGCTCTTGCTCCAACCCCAAGGCCAAACCAGGACCCAAACTTGACCCCACCTCAATTTTAACCCGGACCTTCAGCCCCCATCTCCAACCTTGAACCCAACCCCTAATCCAACGCTGACCCCAAGCCAGTTAGGGTTACTAACTCCAGCCCAACAATGACCCAAATTCTGACTTGGCACGGCCCCATGCTGACCCCATTCTTTCTGTGGGAAGGCCAGCCTCCATTTGTCCCTCTCTTCTCTGAACCCAGCTTGAGATGGGAGCCCATGTCCTGAGGAGGTCCCCAGGTGGCCTGCTGGTTGGCTCCCTGGCGTGCAGGAAACCCCCAAGATGGCTACGCAATGAACACACGCAGACCCCCCAGGTCAAGCCCAGAGCGCCCCCTGGCCGCTACACCCTGGTAGGACCCTGCATCCCTCTCCCTACTTGGGTCTGTTTCTCTCCCCACGTCACAGTTCTCCTCCTCCCCAACCCCCACGCCTACCAGTGCCTGGCTCATGGCTCCCTTCCTCTCCTCGGCGTTGGCTTTCTTCCCCTTCCACACGTAGATTTTCAGCCCCCCCTGGTCCAGGATGTAACAGTCCTAGAAATGGGAGAGAAAGACCCAGAGTGAGAGCCTGATGGCGTGGTGGTGCTGGGCTGGGGGAGCTGCTGGCACAGCAAGTCTTCCATTCCACACGCTCCCGGCCTGCTGGCACTGCTCCTGCTTGGTGGGCAGGGTCCAGGGGGCTGGTAGCCCAGACCCTCTCACCTCATGATTGAGCAGGTCTTGTGTGAGTGGCCGCGTGGCGACTTCTCTGACCACCAGCTTTCCTTCTGAGTCAGACACGCTGCAGGATAAAGGGATGGCATAGACCAGGAGGGGTCCCAGGCCCCTCAGCCGGGGCACCCTGCTCCAAGAAGCCCCCCAGCACCCAGGAGGGGCCCAGCCCGGGCACTCACTGGTACAACTTGAGGGCGGCCTTGAGTGCAGGCTCCACCACCGTGTCAGGCACAGCTGCCTTCAGCTCATTCCGCTTGCCCAGCACTTGGTTCATGAGCTCCATCAGCTGCGGGGACTGCTTCTCATTCTCCCCGTCCACCACAGCCACGTAGGTCCGTCCACCCCGCTCCTGGTCTCGGATCTCCTTGGCCAGGGTCATGCCCTGCAGGGAGGCCCCAGGTGACCCATGAAGACTAATGGGGGACAGGGCAACATCCACCACCCCAAACCACCCCAGGAGACCCCCGTCCACCCCACAGCAGTCCTGAGGGGTGAGGCACCTCTCTGCTTTTCGCCTTTGAGGGGGACCAGGCGTTTAAGATGCATGTGAGCAAACCAGGTGAAAACCCACTGTGAAAGCAGGTGGGAGAGTGTTTCCTGTGGACTTTGTGGGCTTTCAGCTTTGATATTGTTTGAAATTTGTGATTTACTTCGCAGTTCTGAACAAAAGCTGCACCCTGAAGATCACAGTACTCAGTCTCTTTGCCCCAAAGCATGCTTGAACACACACACACACACACACACTCACACACACACACACATGTGCATACACACACACGTGCATACACAAACAGCTTCATGTGTGCTCACACACATATGCACACATACACACCCAGACAGCAGTCTCTCACGTCTTCACACAGACACCCCCAGTCCACGCCTGTGTGCGCGCATGCGCACACACACACACACACACACATTTTTGCACTCACCCTCCACAGCCCAATGTCTACTGTTCCAGTTACTGGCATTTGAGTCCCAGACCCCCACTGCCACCGCAGGCGATCTCACCCAGTCCCAGGGCTTTTGCAGACTACTCAGGCCCTTATTTCTGTCTCCAGCCCAGCTGTCTGCTCTCATCTTATTTATCCAGCTTCCATGATAGCGTCTTTTTAAGATGTTCAAAACTGAACTCTAGATTTTCTCCCCAAATCTGTTGCTTCCTGACCTTTCCCATCTCAGGAAATGGGACTCCATTCATCCCCATAATTGATCAATTGCAATGCTCCGAGTTCTGCTTCACCCCTCTCTCTTCATCTGCCATGCAACACACAAGTCCAGTGGATTCCTCCTTCTCAGTCCTCACCTGACGGACAGCAGGCTCCCAGCATTCTCTTAGCTCTTGTACCCCGTTTCATAACTCAGAAATCAGAGTGACATTCAACAACCTCCCGGGCACTGAGAACAAATCTCACCCCTCTTACACAACCTTCTGACCACAAAACTTGCCCCTCTGAGATCTGCCCGCTCCTCTCCAAGCTCCTCCAAATCCCTGCCTCACGCTCTGGCTGCACCAGGAGCCCCCACCCCACCCCAGTCATTTCTCTCCTGCCTCAGGGCCTCCTCCTCCCACCCACACCTCCTCCCAGAAGCCTTCCCAGAACCCACAGAACTGCACTCCCCACCCCTCACTTCTCGGTTATTCCCTTCATGTTTGTCTCCGCCACTGCACAGCCAGCTGGAGGCCAAAGCCAGAGCAGGGCTGTACTCACTTCATTCTCCCCTGGGCCCCCAACACTTGGCAGAGGGTGTGCCACGCAGCAGGGATTCATTAAATCACAGTGGATTAGCCGTAAGTACATACATGCCAACTCCAACATGCGTACCTCTCCCCATACACATGGAGACCCAAATCCACCTTCAAACACCTGCCCCAGGCAGTCGGGGGGAGAGAGGCCTGGAGAACTAGCAGCTAGCTGGGGGTGGCAGAAGTCTGGAAAGTCTGACTGTGAGCGAGGCCAGGTGCTGGTGTGCGGGAGCAGGTGGGGGCAGGGTGGGACGGGTGGGGAGGGGTGCTGCACAGGCTGGGCTTACCCTGAGTCTCTCCATGCGGTTACTCTCCGGCCCATTCCACTGGATGATAAGCTTCCCGAGGTCCAGGAGGAAAACGTCCCCACGGTTGAAACTCTTCCAGGACATTTCCACCTGGAGAGACATGGGGAAGGGGCAGACCCCACTCAGACCCCATCCATCATCCATCACCCCTTCCCCACCCTCTCCCTGCCCCTCACCCCACCTCGGCCTCTGCTCTCCACACAGGCTGGGAAGGGGGACAGGAGGCCATGCCCTAGGGCCCTGGTCAATGCCCACCTCTCCAGCCATCACGTTCCTCTTGCCCTTCACATGCAGCAGCCGCCGGACATTGCTGGAGTTGGTCTCCACATGCGTCATGCCAGAAGCCACTCCCCCTTTCCGGATCCTGAGAAGAAAGGTGAGCTGACCTGAGGGAATAGGCTGGAAAGTGCGACAGACCCCTGCCCTCCCTGATCCTGGGTGCCTGCCTGTCACTGGGGCCATCTGAGGGCCAGGGCTGGGACAAGGGTGAGGTGCATGTGGGACCTCTGGTACAAACTTTAAGGAGACATTCACCATCAGGGTCATTCAAGTGCAAGGTTGGTCTGTTGCCCACATTTTGCATGACCCTGGCAGTGAGTGCCTCCTTAAAGTTTGCACCTTAGTCCCCTCACTCACTTACCCTTAGTCCCTTCCCTGCTGAGAGAGAGGCCTGCAAAGACAGATACATGGTAATGTGGTAATGTGGTAATGTGGAAAGACAGGACAGGACTCTGAGGGCATGAATTAAAAAGAAGGAAGAGAAGGGAGATGCCATGGACTGAACTGTGTCCCCTCCCAAACTCATAATGCTGAAACCCTAATCCCCAGTGATGGTATTGGAGGTGGGGCCTTTGGGAGGTAATAGATTTAGATGAGGTTTAGAGGAGTCCATGGAGGTGATTAGTGCCCTTATAAAAAGAGACACTAGAAATCTTGCTCACTCTCTCCACCAAGTGAAGACACAGTGAGAAGGTAGCTGTCTACAAGCCAGCAAGAGAGCCCTCACCAGCGCACAAAAAAGCTGACACCTTGATCTTGGACTTGCCAACCTCCACAACTGTGAGAAAATTGTTTTGTAAGCCACCCAGTCTGTTTTTCATCTTTTGTATTTACTGTATTTTGCTATGGCAGCCCAAGCAGACTAAGACAGAAGAGGTGCCAGCTCAAATGTCCAAGGGAGTGGATGCTGCTGTAAATGTGGGAAGAAGGGAGCAAAACAAAAGGGAGGGGTAGCGACTGTAGCTAACTGGACAGCTCCTCGCCTATCCTACAGATCAGTAGCAACTTGGCTCTTAATTGTGTGTTTCTATGGGAAAAACCCAGAAGCTAGAACTTTAGACTTTTCAAGAAAAGCTGGAATTCTGGGCTTTTAGTGTGAAAGACCTGCTTTAGAGAAAGGCGCAGTCATTTGCTGGTTGGTTAGAGGAGAGGCTTGATGTGATGGTCTGGAGAGCCTCCTTCAGCACTAAGCTCTCCAGGGCATTCAAATAGAGGGTGATTTACAAAAAGTCATGGCACACAGAGTTACAGAATTTCAGAATGGCCTTTGGGAAGCCAAAGACAACATTTAGAGCAGCGGTTCTCAACCTGTGGGTCGCG